GCGGCCCCTGCCGGCGCGGAGGACGCGCCGCGCGTGACATCACCGCGCGCGGGAGGGCTCGTGCGGGGGGTGCACGCGCGAGACGTGGGGCGCCCGCGCGTGGGGTGCGTGCACGGAGCGCTGGGGTGCCCACGCGTGGGGTGCGTGCACGGAGCGCTGGGACACACACGCGAGGCGTGGGGCGCCCGCGCGTGGGGTGCGTGCACGGAGCGCTGGGGTGCACACGCGTGGGGTGCGTGCACGGAGTGCAGGGGTGCACACGCGTGGGGTGCATGCCCGGGGCGCAGGGGTGCACACACGAGGCATGGGGTGCTTGCAAAGCTTGTGTTTTCAGGTCGAGTTTTGCAGCTAGCACGCATGGACGTGGATATGAAAGCGGGTTTTAAGCACAGTGCTCTTTCGCTCCTGCGCTTGGGAGCCACATTTTCCTTCTAGATGCTGGGAGAAACCCCTTCCTCGTGGTGTCGTCCTCCCATCAGGTCCCTTGTATCGGCCCTGAGTTAGTTCTGAGCTGGCCAGGAGGAGTTGTTGCCTGCTGCATCCTTGAGCAGAGCTAACATTTGTTGCATGCTTCTGATTTTTTAGTTTTTCATTTAAATTAACGCCCTGTAGCTCAGCTGTGTTTTAGAGCAGAACCATGGTGAACTCGTGTGTTTAGTTGGACGATTCCTTTGCTTCTCCAGGAGCTGATTTCTGTCCTCTCCTGAGTTCTGGAGCTGTGATCTCTCTTTTATTGGGCACACGATAAGGGTCGCAACAATGCTCTGCAAAGAAGCGCTGTGTGTAGCTCTTTTGCAGCAATGTTTATATTAGTCACCTCTTGGCCTTTGTGCTTGCGTAGAACCCTATTAATTAGGTTTTCAGTGACAGACTATTTTAGCCCTCTTACATATTTTCCTTTTGAATCGCATCTGCAGATACATTTTGGTTTGCTGCGTGTTCCTCGCGTGCCCTGCTTAGGAAGGAGGAGGAGGGATGTTTTCTTTCCTGATAAGAGAGGCTGATGTTTCATGCACTCAGGCGCACACCAAAAATTGCTGCATTGACTCACATCCCCTGCCTGGTTATTGCATCTCTCCAGTGTTTTCGGGAAGGTGGAAACTACGTGCAACTCTCCAGTAAGTCGATAACCCGGCCGGCACGTTAGCGCTCCTGCTGATCCCTCGTAAAGATCCCTGTGCAACCACAGCTTCAGGGCTGCGTCTCTTCCAGCTTTCACATCTTTCTTACCTCTTTCAGCTCTGTCCACACAACCATCTTCTCCCTCTCATCTGCATGATGCTGGGGCAATGAGTGCCTCAGTTTCCTTATATGCCTGATTAAAAAAAGAATTCCTGCTACAATTTCTCCATCTGCCACTTTTTAATTGTCCCCGAAGTAAGCTGTTAGGAGCAAAAAGAAAGAAAGTAAGCCTCGAATTTTCTTGGGCTTAGTTACTGCTATAGTGTTGTGCTGTGTAACTGCACGAAACCCCAGTTAATTAAAAAAACAGCATCCCTTGCCTGTAAATATTTGCCTGCACTTTGCATATTTGCATATGTTTAAGCAATAAGTAGGGGTAAAAGAGTCCCGTGCCGCACTTGTAGTTCTTGCTGTTGAACATGAAAGGGAGTTCAGAGGGAATATTTGTATCATCTGGAGTATTTGAGCTGAGGAAATGAGGCCTCGCGCGGCTCCTGCAGCTCCCCTGCGGCCTCGCAAGGATCCTGGTGCGTGGCCAGGCTCTCCTCTTGCTGCCAGCGAGATGCAGAGCCGCGGCCGGGGACGGGCCGTGCTGCAGTGATGCTGGTGCCGCAGCCGGGGCAGGGCATGCTGCAAACGGCCTGTTTTTAGCCCAAAACGTCTGCTTTTAGCCCAAAACGCCTGCTTTTAGCCCAAAACGCGCAGGGCTGGGCGTGCGTGACTGCTGCCCGCCAGCAGCCACCAGGTGACAGTGTTTCAGAGGAAGAACTGCTCGTTGTCTAACTGCTTTGCTGTTTTTGTGTGTTTTTTTTTTTTTTCTTTTTTTTCTTCTGTGTGTGTGTTTTTCTGCCCTTTGGCACAGAGGTATCGTTGGCAGCATTGCCTTAGTGCTCAGCATCAGTGACCACTGACTAAGGGACAGGTCGGTCATAGGGTCCTGCGGGGTCTGGAGACCTCCTGGTCCCTGCTGGCACTTGCTGTGGAAATGCTCTGCTCCCCCTTGGGGTCTGTGCTGCTCCCTGGGATCCCGGGACCATCCTAGTGGTGCCCTGAGCACCCACTGCCTCCTGCTCAGCTCCGTGTGCTGTAGGGCATTAGGCATCAATCTCTTCCAAATAAGCATCTAGAGGTTTATCATCTCGTTTCATAAGTAAGTAGTGTTGCTGTACATATATATACATATATATGTATGGCTCTCTGGTGCACAGATATCCCACCTGCATGAATGAGGAATGAGAAGCCCATGGCCAAGTCTTCCCTCGCTGGCCATGCCCAAGGCACTGGTGAGTCCCAGGATGGTTGGATGATGCCCCTGGGCTGTGATCCTTGTGCTCAAAGACCCTCTCAAGACCTTCCTGTGCTTGTCACCTTCTCCTTCCCCTTCCTGCCAGTTTTATTCCGTCACCCGGCTATCTGTTTCACTTTAATTGGCGTGTTTTATTTATTTATCAGGATATTTTCAGATCAGCAAATCCTCCCCTGCTAGCGCATGAGGATGTTCCTAAGGACAACGCTTCCCATAATCCCCGAATTAAGGCTCTTACAGCATTAAAGCCCGTTAATCAGCGTGTTCTCACAAACAGCCATTTCAGAGGGGTTTGTTATCCCCAGGCTCAGCTAAACAGTAGCATTAATTAGTGGTCTGAGAGGCTATTAGCGCGTAATGGCCGTGAGAAATCAAAATGGCACATGGAGATAGGATGGCCAAGGAGCATCTTCCTCTGCGCTGTCCCCTCGCCGAGCTGGGAGCTCATCTGGATTCTTCTGTCCTCCTAAATGCAGGCTGACCTTCCCAAAGCTGCATCGGCTTTCAGTGTTTCATTGCCTTTGTTTTTTAGGTAATTGGTACCACACACTTTCACCAAATAATCACTTTTCCTGCATGCGGTTCCTCCCAGGCGCTTCTCTGTTGACTGTGACTACCACCGTACGGATGGAAAACGCCTTTGCTGTGTAATTAACTTTATCTGCTTTGCTGCAGTGACTCCCACTGGTAATTACACACACTTCAGCTCTCTCACCACATTTCTAGGACTTTAAGGAGTGCTGATTGCTCTTGCCCAGCCTCTGTCCAAACTGGAGGGTTTTCACATGGGCGCAATTAGATCTTTTTCCTTTGCAGCCGCCCTGCTGTAATCTGGATGTTGGTTATACTAAGTATAATGTGATCTTTAAATAAACCATCTGCTTGGAATTCACTGGGTTTTACGCGTGCCGGTAGCAGAAAGCGCATTTATATCCTCAGGTTGTTGAGTGTTTGGTGTTACGGGTAGGTCTTTTTTAATGAGATGATTTGCAACAGAGGACAAGGATTTTGAAATCTTTCTCTAATTCTGCTTTCTCAGTGTTATTTGTTTTTTCCTCCCATTTAGCCCAGTCTTATTGGCCTTTTTCTATGGTGTGTTACAGACTTTTGCATTCTGATGATCCCCTTTTTTTTTTTAAGGAAAGAATCTCGTGATTTATGTTTGCTGTCCATAACTCAGTGATGCCCCTGTGTCCTCTAATATATTTCCTACCCCGGGGAAAGGGTCAGCAGTCCTGGTCACCCGTTTCCATCCTGCTGTGCCTTTGCCCTGGCCAGGACCCAGGGAACACAGGCAGGAGTGAGCTCTACATGGTGCAAAGAAAAACGCTACTAGACCAACGTCAAGTGAGATCTTCTAGCAGATCAGGCCAACGTGCGCCGATCAAAGGAAGCCGTGTTTGATGAACACGCTGCTGTGATATTTTAACATCGCGTTGTCTTTTAAAATAAACACAACAGTGGAGAGGAGGCAGCCCGAACACGCTGCTAAATCCACAGGGCGAGACGCTTGTCTGAGCTATAAGGAAATCCATCCCGGGACGTAGCTGGAGACTGTTTACGTACCTGGAACGCATCTGCCGAGCGCCTGCTGATTTGGATATCAAATGAGCTGTATGTGCTGCTCTGGCTTCCATGTCCTGTGTGCACCAGAGCATAAATCCCAGAACGAGGATAATTCTGGGATACACACTCACAGTGTAGCTATTGCCACACATTTCCTAAGTGCTGCTCCACCAGCAGGTAAGATATCAGCGTGAGAAACTTCTATTTTGGTGAAAATAGCTGTATTCTTTTTTTTTTCTTTGTTTTTTTTTTAATAAGTGTGCAGTAAATTCCAGTACCCTGGAAATGAGAGCACATGGTTGTAACACCAGGTGTGTTCCCCAGCTCTGCAGAAATTCTGCTTAACCATTAAACCACTATGTAAAACTGAGTGCGTTTGGGTTACTGGCAGCTCAGCTGCCCAAGTACCTCCCTTACCTTTATTTATTGCTGCACTGTGATGGGTAAATGAATACAGAAATCCCTGTTTTCCAAGAAAAAGCTGAGCACTTGGCTGAATCTGGGTGTGAGCAGCAAGATTCAGCAAGCGGCATTTTCCCATTTCTCTGTTTTGCAAGGGCAGGATTGTGCCCCACTACATCAGTCCCTGCAGCCACAGGTGCCCAGTGCCTAGCGGTGGGTTCTCTACATTTAATCCATGCTCTTTTCTCTCAGAAAAAGCTGTGGCTGATCCAAAACCTCATGTTTGGAAGACTAGCTCTGCTTTCCTTGGAAAGAAGGAGCCTCCATGCTGTGGAGGTGGAGAAAACTCCACGGATGACGGGCATCAGGTCTCAAGATCCACGGGAAATCTTCAAGGTCAGAGAGCAGGAACTTAAGAGAGGAGAACAGGACTTACAGTTCTCTGAAATGCTAATGTTGGTAGCGGTGTTGTGGCAGAGTCGGTAACTTTGGGGTCTATATTTAATCTAACTCAGCTGCATTCTGACCTCACTGTGTAAAAAATGCCTAATTAGTTCCTTTTGGTGTCTTTCCTTGCTCTGAAGCAAGGAAGCCTCTGCCTGGGGGATATTTCATGCCCTGCACGTGTTCAGGGCCCTTGCTCGGCTGCAGAATGGAGCCTTTTCCGTGCGTTATCCGCCCGTTTCCATGCCACAACGTGCTGCATTTAACTCCAGCTTTGAGCCTGATTAAAATTGCCGTCTGAGTGCTGATATTTTCCCGTGTCTCCAAGCTCTATTTCATGTGGTGTCAGTGAGACCAACTTTTTGAAAATCTTCTGTGCAACTCGTGCAAAAAGCTGGTGCAAACCCGAGCGCTGCTCAGCACCCTCCTCTGAACCAGTCTCCATTGCCCTGCCGAGATGCCCGGTTTGGCAGCTGCTGGTTCCTGGACAGCTTTCCTCCTTGCAGCATTATCCCCTTTTACCCATTGTTTATTCCAATTTGGCATTAAAAAAATGTGAGTGTGTTGTCCTGGTCAGCAGTGATATACGCAGAGGTGCGAGACGTACCGTGCTGCTTCTGACGCCTTCCAGTTAGCATTTTTCCCCACCACAACTCAGTTCTTTCTCCAAAGGCTTAAACTGCCCCTTGATATTGTCCTAATATGAACTGCATGACGTTACCTCTGCGGCAATTGTATTTTCCTCCATTTTTTCTCCCTTTTCCTCTACTCTGGATCCTGCTCTGTTGTTTCCAGGGCTGCTCCCAAGCCCTCCATGGAGGCTGTGGCTGCTGCTGTGTCCCCTGTGCTGTCACCCTGTGACATCTCCAGTTCTGCAGTAGCCACCAGCAGTTGGGGCAGGAGGAATAAACTGAGCGTGTTTTCTGAGCATTTTTTCCCCAGAAGTTCCTACTGTAGCCCTAATTTTCCGTTTTGACCCAGCCTGCCCTCTAAAACCAGATTTCGAAGCACATCTAAAAATACTGAACTATATGTGCCATTGACTTTTAATGTCTAAGACCTTCGCAAAGAAACATCCTTGTGGCAGCTATTTTCAGCCGCCTTTTCCTTACCTACTTTTCCTGCTGCTTTGTGCTACTTTACTTGTAGTTTCCAAGCCAGCTGTCCCCAATGGCAGGGCCAGCCCTGTCCTTGGTAGCTCTTGGGGGTGCAAAGAGGCACCAAATTCAGTTCCAGACTCCAGCCCCGTGGGCACCTTTCTTCTAAGCTTCGACTGCTACTCCCTTATTGCAAAGCTGTGCAGAAAAAGACAAATATTTTGAAGAACCTATTGGATATTTCGACATCCTTTAACAGT